CCCCGCTGCAGCGAGGGCAGGCCGCGCTCCAGCAGGCCGAAGACCAGCTTCGCGGTCCCGATGCCTCAGACCAGACGGAGGCTACCCTAGGGGGGCGAATGGGGCAGGGCGCGTCAGGGTGGAGAAAGCCATGGGTGCGCTTCCTGACATGGCGCTGGTGGGGAGGTACCTGAAAGATTAATTTCCTCTTGAAGGGACCCCCTGTCAGGTGCCATGTTAGTGAGAGGCGGGGTATTCATCCACAAAAGCCATGGTTGCGAGTCGCCCTTCAGTGGGGGGTAACCGTGGTCGTGACCCACTTGCCTGACGTACCCCAGCGCCCCCTTCAGCATGGAAACCAACTGCGGGTGACCTCCAAATATTCGGGGGAGGGAGAGGGGGGGGACGTTTTGATATTTAAAGGGAAGCCAAAATACAAGCAACATGTTTTAGACACGCATCTTGAGAAACACCTCAGTGAAGCTACCCTTTGAACGTGGATTGAAGACAAACTTCCGAGATGCAACAGAACTCGTGAGAGTCCCTCAAAGTAAGTTCGCTTTTGGGATGTAGTAGGGGAGTCTACCCAAACTTATGCGAAAGGACCGAAAGGTCCACAAAGGACATCCGCACCACGGGACTGTCCGCAAATTTCCAACTCACCGTGTTTCGAGTGTGGCTCAAGCGAACTCACCTTCCGGAGCTGGGGCTCAAGGGTTCAACCTCTGGCCAGTTGGTTGAACCTGGGCGCCTTTTAGCCTTGCCAACCGGAAGATTTAACAGCCTGGCCAAGTCTGCCAGACCCAAGGTACACACCAACCCGGAGAAAAGTTGGCGCCCTGTCCTGGTCCACTGGAACTGGACGCCTCCAAATTTCCAAAAAAAGGCGCCTCACTGAAGGTCTGGCCCCGAATCCAAACGGAAACATCCGTCCACCCGCCTCGCCCAGATGGTTGGCCGAGAGTTGGCTAAGTGCTTACCAGCACTCAACCAGCAGTTCACAGTCTTCAAGACCCGTGCCCAGACCCTTACTAAATTTCCATGGGGACAAGAAAGGCACTCTTTTGTTGGCTCTTGAGTTTGAAGAAAACCCCTCCAAAAAAAAGAAACAAAGGCACCGGGTGTCTGTGTGAACGTTGGCACAATTCTCTTCCTTTCGACAAGTTTGAAACCAACCCTTCTACTTTTGTCCATATGAGTCACAATCAACACCCGGTATTAAAATGGTCGACCCAGAACCATGTAAAGAATTAAGAAGGCGGCTGCGGCTATTTATGATTGTCCCTTACTAACCTTCAACTACCCGGCTTTTGATTGTGGCTCACATTGCCATGGAACCTAAACGGGGTCCTGGAAGACGGTCCTTTAAAATGGGGCCATTTCTCTGGCAAGTTCCATGTGGACGGGAGGGTAACTGTACCAACCGTAGGCGCCCTCTTGGAAAAATCGGCCCTGGTAAATGGGATATAGAACCCATCTACACCAGAACCCATCTATTTCTAACTGCTCAAATGGACACCTACTGGTTGGATAGAAAATAGATGGTTTAGATGAAACTAACCGTTTTTTTTTTTTGATATAAAACCAATCTAAACCAGTGGAACCCATCTATTTCTAACCAAACTAACCGCTCAAAAGGACACCTACTGCTGCATGGTACTCAGACCAAGTGGTCGCATCCGAGTCCTCGGCTGGGCTGCTCGCGCTCGGATGGGGTGGTACTACCGCCATCCTGGGAGTCGAGCGGAAGCCTCCGCTTTGGTCAAAAAAATCGCCGCCTTCGGCTCTCCTTTTCGGGCTGAAGCTTGGTTGCTGTTGACCCCTCTGCAAAACCTTTGACTTTTGGTGGGTTTACTGGCTACGCCTTGATTTCCCAAAAGTTAAAGTCCAGAGATCCAACCCAACAGCCGGCAAGCAATTGCTTACAACGGAAAATTGAAAAGCTGAAAACCACAAGTTCGAGAAGTCTCGGTGATAACAGGCAAGCGTCTCAGGCGCCCCAGTGCAAGCGAAAGGGCTTTTGGGGTCGAGGGCCCGACGGGAAAAAGAAAAACGTGTTGCAAGTAGGGACCCTGCATGTACCCAAATAAGCTGGGAGTCATGGCTGGATGCTGGATGTCACCTGCACTCTGGGGGCGCTCAAACTACCAAATTCCGGGGTGATGTTGCTTCCCTTGCAAAGTTTTGTAGTTTCAGCGTTCTGGTACATTCCTGCAATGATGAAACCTATGCCATCATCCCCTTTGAGGGAAAACGAGGGTTTGCAGGGTTGCATGTCAATCTGGAGTGTATGTCGCAAAACTAGGAGACCCTCTTTGGGAATCCAAATTTTATGGGACCCGATGAGACACCATTCTTCGGGACTGCGCCAAACAGGGAGGGCCGGAGTCTCCGAGACAGGTGCGGTGGGTGTCTCCAGCATCTGCTCTGCCATGCCCATGTACCTGCCGGTGCTGTGCTTGGAAGAAAGGCTTTAAGGAGGCCCTCCTTTCGAATGGTTCTGACGCTGCTGGATTTACTGGCCAGTTCGAACTTTTGGGCCTTGGGGAAACCGGTTTCACGAACCCAAAGAGTGACATGCATGAAAAGCACTTTGCAGGGTGGCTCGTCTTTTTGTTGAGGATCGGTACCCCCTTTTTTTTGGTGGTAAAGGCAAACCAAAAGGAAAACCCACCCATCTTGGTGGGTCCCCCCCCCTCCCCCAAACAGGAAACATATCCAGGTATTGTGCAGTGTGTGTGTGTGTGTGTGTTTGTCTTCTCTTTTTTGGGATTGTCTGAAGGAACCAAGCATAAACCCGCCATGTTGCGGTCTGAAAGCGCCCCATATCCGGAAACCGAAAAAACTTCCTGATTTCGAAAGCATCTCATGCAAACCGAATGAAGGTGCTATATACCCCTTTTTAAAGATGACGCAAGCCATCTGCAAAATCCAAACCATGTACAGAAGGCGTCTGCCCAAAACCATGTAAAGAATCAAAAGGGCGGAGATCTGCACTTATCTATGGCTAGGACCATCCCCAAGTAAACTTCCTGTACCTAGTTGCTTATTGTGTCTCATCTTGAGAGATCCGACTCGTTTTTTGATACAAGCAGGCTGCGCCTTTGGCGGGCAAACCGGTTTAATTCTCGTGCTTGTTTTCAATTTAATTTATTTATTTTTTGCGGGGGGGGGGGGGGTGAGGAAGTAGCGGGAGGACTGCCTTTCATCGGCTCTAGCTGAATCCGGGGGTTTTCTGGTTGCGTTCTTTGAATCCGCCAGGTTGGAAATCAAATCTCAGGCTGCACCCCGGTCTCTGCGTGCCGCGGTCGAGACCTATTTTGACCCAATCCCAGAGTGGGCGGAAGAGAAGTGGCTCGGCCCATGCCTGAGCAGCTCGTCCAGCCCTCCTCTCCCCCAGCGATTTTGTGCCGAGCGGCGGGAGGTGCGTCTCGGGGGTCTGCGACCGCGAGCGAGATCCCTGCTGCATTGCCTGAGAGCAAGTGGGATGGACAGTTGCCCAGCGACCATAGAGAAAGGGAGCCCATGTTGGGGTCCTCTGCGGGGACACCAACAAACACAAACTGAGGCCATTTGGTGTTGGCCCATGGCCTCGACCTTCCAAGGAAAACAATCAACCATACAAACCCACTTTGAATGACAAAGTATACCCTTCCTCCAACTAACATGGCACCTGTGGGGAGGTACCTGGAAGATGAATGTCCTTTTGAAGGGACCCCCTTTCAGTTGCCATGTTAGTGGGAGGGAGGGTAGATGAAAGCGCAAAGTAAGGCCCCTGTCGAGTTTCTCTAGTGAGAAAACTGAGCCCCGGCCCATGGCAACGGCCGCATGGGTCCCAACGAACCAAACTTTCACGGGCCCTCTCTTTGCTTTTGGGCCGATCGGCCCTTCTCAAGCGAAGCAACACAAGGTGTCGCGGAATCACCAAGATGGCAGTCAACATCACCTGATGTTCTTGCCACTGCACGCATCCACCCCCCAGGCCCCAAAAGCCCCAAATGGCCGTGAACGAGGAGCCCTCCCCAAAACCAAATGTTCCCCACGCTTAAGTTTGACACACACACACACAAAACCCCCAATCAAAAATCCAAGGCGCCGAAAACATCATGATGCCTCAGACGGTGCAGAATCTCTCCAGAAGGGCGTGGCAACTCTTCTAGCAGAATGGCCCACATGATCTTGCTGTCACATCCTACAGTGCCAGTGCAGCCAGAAGCTGCACTTTGCATGTGCGCGTTTGTTCTCTGTTGCATGGCTCTTATGCCAAACACGGGCCCCGCTCACAAAGCACGACATCCACGACTACTCCGATTGCGACACTTTCTCGCCAAGCAGCCTGGCGGGTGTCTGGTGTTAGGAACTAGCCAATACACACACTTGAGCTAACGCTTGCTGTTGCACGCGCTCGAGCCGAAACATGCACAGCCATGGAGATATGGGGGCTCTAAGGGGTGTGCGTTTGTGAGGGCAACCCCTTTTTCGCCTTGGCTTCAATTTTGGAGTAAAACCAATATGAAACCACCATTCTCTATTTTGCCTCATACCCTCATGGGCTTGAGAAAATGAGTGACTCCTCAATCAGTCCCAAATTATCCACAAAGGGCTGGAATGCTGGAATGCTTGATCAACCTTTTTCGGCCAGGTGAGTAAAAGTTGTCAAACTGTGCAAGCGCCTACTTAAAGGGGCCAAGTACTTCGTAGGCTAGTAAGCCTGGTTATAACCCACTTCAGAGCCTTATAACCATGGTAAGTGTGTTATAAGCTATAACCATGGTTATTACCCACTATGTAACATGCGCTTTTCCGTCTTGCAACCTCACGCCAAACCGGACGCCGACGTCCGGAAATCTCCGGTGCACTCCCGCGGCGGCTTTTTGTCTGCAACTTTGTGCACGGCGCACCTCCGACCTCGCATCGCGCTGTGCAGATCACCAAAGCAAGAAACAACGGGGTAGCCTTCGGATTTGCTCACTGAATCCCAGAAGAAATAACAACTTTCGGCCAGCCGAAGTTTTATTCCTGGGTACCTGTTGCTTCCCGCCCCCGAGAAGTAGACGCCCCTCTCCTCCCGAAGACTCCCTCAAAAGGTTGGGAGGGGAAAAGGGACACTGGCTTGGCCAGGGACACTAGCTTTACGCGGTTGGAATCCGCACAAGCTGGATGTCGCGCGATGGGGGGCCGCTGACAACTTGCATTTGGGGGCGACTTTCACCCACCAGTCTGGCTCTCTCGGGGGACGCTGCGCAGCGTCCTCTTCCCCGGGCCTCAGAAGCGCTTCTGCAGGAAGGAGCTCCCCCCCGACAGAATGGACTTCGCCTTCTGCAAGCCCTGACAGCTCCGCCGATCCCGTGCTCGACATGGAGAAATGTCTTTTGCCGTCTCCCTGCCATGGAGCGTTTTGGACGTTCAAAAGGGTGCTCGAGGGCCAGAAAAAAGAAAAAAAAGACGCACAAAAGAGGCCCCCCCCCCCCTCTGACTTCCTGTTTTTAGAGTGGATTGGCAAAAAAAACATAAACTCCTTCTTTGCCACTCGCATCTTCCCAAAAGCCAGTCCGGGAACTCAGGAGTGAGAAGTTAAAAGCACACCTCCGAAGGCTGACGCTGGAGGTGCAAATCCATGCTGATTCATAGGGTGTCGCCATGTTAGAGGGAATCCGGCTCACTGAACACTGCAGCTACAAATCCATTCATGTCACTCAACATGGGGAAGTGCTGGTTTTGCATCAGTCTGAGTCAGCGGGCAGTTCTGAATGCCATTGTGGGTGGTCCCTTTCAGGTGTGTTCCCTGAAAAGGGGGCCTCGAACAAACCTCACTTGCAGAAGTGCATCATAGATGTGTGTCTCAAGAAAGGGACCTCAAAATTGGTAGGAGTCCTGTTGCTTTCAGTTCAAAAAGCAACCCCGGTAGTGAACTCGTTCCTTTTTTGCCCCTGAACCGGTCTCGCCCTCCCGATTCCATCCTCGAGCTCCTCGGTACGCGCCGACTGCCGCAGCTCGAAGTTCTTCACCACGAAGTCGCAGCCTCCGAGGGAAACTCAGAGGTTTCCGCGAAGATGGTGTTGAGTTCTCATGAAAATACCCCGTGGATCCCAGTTATACCCATAAGGTGGGAAACCAGCTATTGTCCTTTTAGGTTTTGAAGGGCTCCAGGTAAACGGATCCACTGGGAGTCGTCCACTGACGTGAGGCTAGCAAGCACATGGTGTGGTTCCCCTGAATTTGTCTGGACACTTTGGCCTGGGAAGCGAATCCTTTTGTTGCAAGGGATCCAGCAGGAGCCACACCGCTGAAGAAAGGGAACAGGCTTCAAGGTTGGCCCGAAATTGTGGTATTCTCTTTGGTTTCATTTGGGGTACCCGGACACACTCCCTCCACGTTGCCCCAGCGTCTCGGACTAGGCGACCGGCTCTCGTGCAGATTGGCCTGCGCAAGGATGGCCGGCACTGAAAAGCCAAATGGCAGATCCCCAAAACATTTGGCTTGCGCGAACTTGTAAGCCAAGTCGGAACCAACTGGTTCGGACCCATCACCAGAGCCGCTCGACAACTAGGCATACGCCCACCCACTGCCTCGGGCTTCTGATTTTTGTACCACACATGTGCCCTCCCAAGTAGCATGGAACCTGACAGTCCCCTTGAAAGGAACATAGGCTTCCAGGACCCCCCAAAACGTCAGGTTCCATGTTATTTGGTGGGAGGGTAGATTCCGGGTAGATCTCATGTGGAAACTCTCTCTTGGTACAGAAGTTGTCACGCGGTGAGCCTCACTTGTTGAACAAGTCTAAACCCAGACGGGTAATTTACACATGTTCCTGCCAACCCCGAAGCACGTGGTTTTTGTTTTCTTTCTGGGCCCAAGGCTGTGTGCTAAGACGAAACAGCGGCCTTTTCGTCCGAGAAAACGGTCAAATCTACCTGCTTCTCCCCTACACCCGTCTCATTGTATACCAAAACATATGGAACATTCTTTCTTGGGCGTCCTTTTGGACAACCATTCCTTGCACAGGACATTTCCATCCACCATATCCCCCCTCTCCCCCACTACCAGACCCCTCCCCGCGCTCGATCCTCCTCCAGGGCCAAGTCTGCGAGCTCCTGAGGCGCGAACCAGTCGAAAACTCTCTGTGGGTTCGATGGAAAATGTTTGACCAAAGATCCAACCAAAATGTCCCATTCTGAAAGTCGGCTAGGATAAAACCTCCTCCTATGTTGCAGGTGACACTCACATTCACGGCCATTGCAGCGGGTCATTCAAACCCTTTTTTGTAACACGACCCAGAGGGTACCCCCCCCCCCCCCCCCGACACACTTGGCGGAGCTGTCCTTGTTGGCCCCCTTGAGGTCCGCCTTGGTCATGGACATCGTCTCCATGGCGTTTGCCTCGCACATGACTCAACTCCTCTTAGAGGACATGGGAGTTGCTGTCAGTGAGCCCCGTGTCCCTCGAAAAGCTACAAAATAGTCCACATGTGCACGCTGCTCGAAATGTTAGGAATCTTCCGGGCTCCGTTGCTTTAGTTTAAATGCCCATATTCATTCATCAATCCAACCCGCTCACTCGCCGCCCAAATTTTCACTGGGAAGGGCATTTCGTGGCCTGGATACTTGATTTCTGGTTTGGAGGTCCCTCCTGGGCGCTTGAGCCCCCAAACAACATACGGGTGTCTCTTTTCCCCTCCGGAATGGTGGTTTGCCTTTTGGTTCCCCCTTAAACCAACCCTGAAAGGGGGTACGATCAACAAGATTGCATGTATTTGGGGATCTTCTGAACTTAGCCAGGGATCTTCCCGATTCCGAAGCCATCGCCTTAACAGACTGCTGACCCTCGAGCTTGCTGTTGAAGGCCCCCATGTCCTTGTCCGTCGCCTCAGGCTTTTGTGTCGAGCCCTGTCAACTCACAATCGACTGCCAGCACTGGAAGTCTCCTCGGCAGATTCACCAGACTCACCAGACTCCCCAGACTCACCAGACATGATGATACGTGGCGCCCCACTGAACCAGCAGCACCCTTGACAAGTGTCGAACTCGAACTTCAACGCTGAGCAACCTAGTTTGCTCCAGGCACCCTTTGGCAGGCCTTGGACATGAAATCACTCTGGAAGACAACTCCAGCGACTTACAAATAGAATTGCTCGAGGCACCAGTTCCGTGAAAGAGCGGGGCTCCGAGCCTCGCAAGCCTCACAACCCTTCCATTCCACTGCTCGGTCTCCAATGACATGTTTTTGTTTTTTGGTTGAGTCGGAGCCCGGGAAATTCGGAACAAATATCTGCCATGGGCAAAACTCCTTAATTATGTAGGCCATCATGGTTCCCTTATGTTCCCTTCCAAGGAATACCTTCTATGAACTAGGTTCCATACAAAGGGAACTCAAAAGTATCCGGACTCAAAGTAGCCCAACCAGCACTCAGGTGCGCATCCTAAACCCAACCACTTCAAGCGCGGTGTCTGCCGCGTTTTTTTGGCGGACGCGCCTCGGCCAGCTTTCCGAAGTCCTTCTGCGAGGACTTCTTGGCGCGCGAGGTCTCTGCCTCCATCGCCTCGGGCTTCGTGTTGACCATCCAGACAGACAGGATCAGCAGACAGACAGGCAGAAGCAGAGACGGGACAGACAGGTAGACAAACAATCCCATGTTGGTGTCCATTTGGGAAAATCAACAAATATAAGTCACTGAGCAGCTATATGACGGGCTGCCTGTAAAAGAAACCTTAGGCACGACCAAGAAACCTCACAGGGTCAGACGAAGCTGCTCTGGGAGGCAGTTGCCAAACATCTTTTGCCATGGTATTCCTGTTCAAGCATGCAAACACGTAGGACCGAGCTCACTATCCAACGTGCGGCTTTCCAAGGAGCCTGTGCCCTTGACAAAGCAAGCAAAGTGGGGTGTGGGTTAAAGAATGTGCGTGTGAAATTCTCCCCAGCGGTGACGCTCTCAAGTATTCTTGCCATCTAATAAACTATGTTGAGGTTGAATAGAAGACAAACTAGTAAACGGGTCTGTCTCGAAATAGAAGAACCGCAAAAGATGAAAATTGTCCTGTGGGCCCTCAAAACAAGCTCAACAAAGAAGAGCCCCCCCCCCTCCAGCAAATACAGGCTGAAATCCACCAGATCGGATACGAAACCTTCTTGCCGCAAGCAAAACGGCCAACCACTGACCGTTCTGCAAACTTCCGGCCGCCTTGGTGTCGAGGATGATCTTCTGCATGAGCTGCATGGCGGCGTTGCCGCCTCCGCTCTTCTTGTAGTCCTTGAAGCCCTGGCAAACGGACTAGAGCTCACAATTGCTCGGGCCTCCCGATTTATTTCCATCAGCGCATTGGGAAACGTAAGGGAAAATCGAGGAACATCAAGGTAGCACAAAAATCCTTTGCATGCAAGGCTGATCAGGTCACTTGGTTGGTGAGTGGGTCGACACGCATTGTCCCACACCAAAGTTGAAGGTTAGAGATCCAAGCAAATGTCGGCCTGGCAAAAAATGAGGGCGCCGGGTGTGGCAAAACAAGTGAGCGGAAGTGCGGAGCTTGACGTGAAACCCACCAAGCGCTCCCGCTGCCTTTTTTGCGGAGTTCGACCACACGCTCGAAGTCCAGAGGTCTCAGGGAAACAAAAAGCCTTGTCTAAACAAAACGCACGTGTTGGGAGTTATCTTCAAAATGGGGGTGTCAAATCCCTTTCCTGGGCGGCAGGGTCGTGGCAAAACTTGCTGGGGAATGACCCTGCGTGTTGGGAATAAACCTAGAGATTCCCTCAAAGGAGACTATAGGGGATGGTTTACAGGGGTCATTCCCTCCTTCCCTGCTGAGAACCAGCAAGAAAAAGAACACAAAGACAAAAGGGATCAACCTAGGAGGTTCTTTGATAAGGGATTTCTTCGCCGACCTCCAAATGATTGAGAATGGTGTGCAAAATGATCCTTGAACGGATAACTTTGTTACTGGACAAATGGGTGCCACATAGAAATCCATGGCCATCATCAAGGCCCAAGAAAGCAAGTGTAAGATTCCGTCCCTCTCGGCATGCAACAATTGACGAGCCGCTTGAGCTTTCATTGAGAACCCTCAACAATGACTAATGTACAGAAATCCCATTGGAAGTTAAATTGGGTCCCAGTGGAATTCTACAAAAACCTGCCCCTACTTGAAAGCCCTGCGATTCTTCACTGTACCCGGCCTCCGGTGTGGCCTGGACAAGCGCGGGCGCCTCCTGGTAGAAGCCCTGCCGGAGAACGGTCCGCGGGAGCTCCGCTGAACTGACAACCCCCTCCCGACCAACCAAAAAACCCATCCTACGGTGAAGTGTTGGAATCATCGAAAGGATTCTGAGATGTTGGTAGGTCCAACACACCCCACCCAACACCGCACCCCCAACCCCCCACACCCCCGCCTTGAGGCTATCCAGTGCCTTGGTGAGGAGCTTCTGGGTGGCCGCCTGATCAGCCAGCGTGGTGTTGAAGTCTGCCAGCTCCTTCTCGTGGTCCTTTGAGCTCGCTGCGGGGGGCCGGGGCTTTCCTTATATCAGCATATGTATATATAGATGTATATATATATATATACACACCTTATGTATATATATATAGACCTTACGTATATGTCTATATACACCTTCTGTAGATATATATATATAGACACCTCATGTTGTGTATATATACATATATATATATATATGTGTGTATACAGCACGTATGCAAAATGTGTGCATGTGAATGTCTTATACAGGTTGCAAATACATATGTGCACTTGCAAACCATCTGTATACATAAGTGTGTAGATGTGCAACTATACAATGTATAGTCATATTACCTAAACAAATATAAATAGATATGATATAACAGTGCACCCAGGACTGCTTGCATGTGTATCACCCAGCCCAAAGCACACACACAAACGCACATACACCAAAGAAAAGAATAAACGAGCATTGGCTGCGCTTGAATGCATGGAGCATTCAAACGGCGTCCTCGGCGGCTTTCTTCAGCTCCTTCTGCGCGGCTTCCATCTGGCCTCCACGAAAGGATGCACAAAGATCCCGCAGGATGGGTGAAAACCTGTGGTGTTGGGCGGCTCAGCTTTTTTTCTGAGATGTTCCGTTGGTGGAACATTGTGGATGGACGAAATGCATTTTGCACCTCCTAAGAAACCCTGGGATGATTCGATTCCCCTGTATATAAATACAAACCAACAATGGTTTCCCATGGTTTCAAAGTGGTGCGAACGGAATTCGCAACCATCCTGCACAAAGGGGATACACAAATGGAAACCAAACAAGTTGGGGACACCTGAGCTACAGCATGCATCCCAGTACGGGTGACATTTCCGTTTCACACTGCATTCCAACCCTCCTAGCCCTCCTATCCCTTCCAACCCTATCAACCTCAACCCCCCAACCAGCCCCCAAGCGTCGCCGTCTCGCCCCGACTCTCCCTCCGACTCTCAGGATGGGCCGTCGGAAAAGGGTTCCCGGCCCTTGGTCTCCGAGATCTCGGAGGCGGTGGTCTCCAGCTTGGTCTTCAGCATCGCCAGCTTGGTGCTGTGCTTGCCCTGGCATTTTCATGTGGGTCAAAAAATTTCAACAGAAGGGGTTACGCGGGTTTTGGTCCATGTGTCCACTTACGAGGGCAACCCATTTTGGTACCGGCTTCTTGAGCCACTGCCATCTGGGTGTGGCATCCTTACCCTCTCCGATCTCTCGGGGGAGTTGCCCCGGAACAGCCCCTTCTTTGAGAGGTGTTTGTCAGTCCCCAAAACGCAGCTGGCATTTTCATGTGGGTCAAAAATCGGGTAACCCCAAAATGGGTTGAACCCTGGCAAATGGACACATTGACTAAAACCTGCGGTCCAATTCCTGGGGTTTAATTTTGACCCATACCCATGTCGCGATCTCTCGGGGGCGTTGTTTGGAAAAACCCCCCTTTTTGAGAGGTGTTTGTCATTCCCCGAAACGAGGCTGGCATGCCCCATCCCGATGTTGGGAAGAATTCGAAGAAGCCTTTGAGAGGTGTTTGGTCCGCACTCAGAGTTTTTTGGGAAAAGGGGAGCGGAGGGGGGAGGTGGGAAGGGGAAAGTGGAAAGAGGATTCATGAAAATGGCGAGGCAAGTGCTAGTAGGCCTTTTCGCAGGTGTCACTACAGTGCTTCTCCTTACACCCTGCACCAATTGGCAAACGACCCCACGTTCGCCGTGACAAAAATTCACATCAACTCTTGCTATGTTGGACCATGTTCAATGACAGGTTCAACTCTCCTCAGATCCCCCGCTAAAAGTGAATAACTTGCGGGTCAAATGGAACCCCCCACCAAAACCCCAAAAACGATCTGAAAAGCTAAGAAACCGCATGGCTGGGGATTCCTACCTTAATCTTCCAGTGTCGATCCATCCGAATTCCCACTCTCGACTGCGCTTCAGCGCCTTCATGCTGCTCATCTCGGCAACCTTCGCCTGAAAGCACCCTCTGCTCCAAAAGATGTCAGGGTTTGTTTTGTGGGTCCAGCTGAAGGAACCCAACGAAACATTGGAGCAATTTTTGCTACCCCTTGGGGATGCTCATCCTTTTCCAAGGTGCCAGCCTTTTTAAGCATATCAAAACCGTCCCGTTTGGGGACTGTCGAATGGGAACTCGCATGAACCAGTCAAAGTCTTCCTGGTGCTGACATGTTGCATCCAGTCGACTACCGAAGCATGCACAAGGCGGCCGGTATGAAACTGAAAATGGGAGTATGGTCAAAAGGCCTAGCTCTTTCAAGGCATGACCAGAGTGGTCACCCATCAATGAGGGTGCTGTATTATTATATGTATATTTCTACATCCCTGTCTCACCTGCAGTGATTCTTCCAAGAAGCATACTGGAAAATATCTCGGGACATTCCTCGGGCCTTGTTGGCATTGAAAGAGCTGATGCAGAAATCCCGCTGCTCAACCTCGTCCTGCATCTCCTGAGGTCTCTCTGGTTCTCAGCATTCGATCCAAGCCACAGAGACTCTCTCTTCTCAAGCTGGTCCGCCGGGCTTCTTCCCTCTTTTCGCATCCGCAAGCCACACAGACCCTTTCGGGGGACTCGGGACTCGACGCGGCAGACCGCGCCTTTTTGAGGCCAGTCTTCATCTCCGCGATGGCCTTCAACACCTGGCGCCAGCCATAAGAGAGGTGGATGCTGGGGTGCGCTTCCGAGCGAAGGTTCTCTTCACATCGGAATCAAACCTCCCCAACCCACAGTGGACACTTTCTGGGTCTATCGGAAAAAAACCATCGTCTTTGGGGTAATTGTTGGGTGTTTGAGGGCTCGGTGCAAGAAAATATCCTCTCCCGTAGCCTCAAACTCGTGCACGGCCACGCATGCGAGCTGCTGTGGTGTCGAGGGACCCAGCTTTGAAGGGAGACCACCATTTTGCCGTGGGTCAAAAATAGGGTAACCCCAAAATGGGCTGCCCTGGTAAGTGGCAACATGGACCAAACCTGCGGTCCAACTCCTGTGTGGTTTCATTTTGACCCACCCCCGCACCAACCACCAAAACAGATGCACGGGAGCCACACTGGGCACCCCTTGGGCGCCTTCTCCATGCCCTTCACCTCCGCAGTGGCCGCCAGGGCCGCCACCCGTCGGTCCGCGGAGCCGGCCAGCACCTGTCGGCCCGGCGCCCGAAGCATCCGGATGGCTGGATTTTGACCCGGGGCGGGCTCTTGGGCTCGGTTGGTTTGAGGCCCTTTTGATCTGACTGATTGAGAGGGGTTTCCTCCTTGTGTATGTGGATGCCAAGGAGGGCCATGCCTGCTACAGTCGGGGCAAATATGGGCGATGGATTCCCTGAGGCCCCCGTTTGGCCTCTTTCCCTCGGAAGGGGCCTACATTGACTCAATCTGCCGTCCTGACCTCGACTTTTCAGTCGTGGGTGAGTTTGAACCAGACCTGGAACCCCGTTAGCTCACTTTCTGCTGAGGAGCCAACCGTGAGCCACTCGTGAAACTACGTCTCACAGCCTTGTAGGATCAAAACAGCCCCAAACAAGGGCTTCCAACCCCAAAGAACGGACACACCCGCAAAGGCCCCACCACCTTCCTCCTGCCTGATCTCCCTTTGATCTGTTTTGGCAGTAAAAGATGGGAAGGGAATGGTCTCTGGGTCAACAAGCTTGACACGGCTGAGGTACATGCAAGACCAGTCCTATCTTCCTCTGTCTGAGAGAAGTGAGGGAATGAGAGCATTGCAAAAGAGACACATTCCTAACACGGATGTATAGGTTTGGAGGGGCACCATTCCTTTCTCACACCAAAATCATCCAGCCTGCGAGGCCCTCTTCAGGCGATCATCCGCCTCCGTCGGAAGAAGCTTGCCGGCCGGGAGAGAAAAAACTGCCCTTCGCCGGATAAAAATGGCCCTCGCTGGCATGGAACCTGCTAGGAGAGCCTCCAGTCAGGTCCCATGTTACAAATCAAAAGGGAGGTAAGTGATGTCCTCTCGGAGAGAAAAATCTTGACTCCACTGCTAATTGATCCGAACTTCTCAAAACCAAACTACCCCTTTTAACGTCACCCCACCCTACCTAAAAGGGACCCTGCCTGTAAATTGGCCCCAAAAGGTGATGTGTGGGTCTGTATCAAAATAGGGGGAACGCGTTTTTTAGCAGGTTCTCTCTTGATTTCGCCCTCAACCAACCTTTCAAGTTGCTACCCTGCTACCCTCAGCCACCCCCACTGAACCCCTGGCGATCCCTCGGGCCAGGCCTTCTGCAAGAAGGAGTAGGTGCGCCCGAAGGTCTGGTGCGCCTCATCCGCGTCCAGCACCTCGATGGCCTCAAAAAACCCAACCCGACGCGACGCGGACGGGGAGGGGTTGTACCGGACGATGGCTTCTACCGGGAATAATGGAAAGGAACTGTCCATGCTATGTGCTTTGGAGCCTTCTAAAGAATGAACAGGAAAAAAACGCTGGCCAATCATTCTCCTCGCTCCCATTCCTCGCTTTTTGCCGAATTCGAAGGGTTGCCCACCTCCCTTTGCATCCTTCCCCCTGTCTTTCCTGAAGCATCTACAATGGCGGCTTTCGGTTTTGGTGCTCCTTGGAACCCGCAAAAAAAAGAAGGCACTCAACACAAACAGACCCGAAAATTGGGGGAGGCCTTTTTCCTATTGAGGGGAAGCCCTGTTTAACGGCGGATCTCTTTTTTGGCCACGCCTTGGCCACCGACTCGATCTCCTCCTGCCGCGTCTTCTGGCGCTCCGTCCACTCCTAGCAAAGAGCTTGGCAGAGGATTCGGGAAACCTCAAGGGATCTCAAGGGACACAACTTCAGTGGGGAATGAGTTGGAATGACCATCCCACTGGTGATTTCCTTCAAGGGGAATGAGGTTCATTCCCTCATTCCCTGCTGAGCACCAGCAAGACAAGCATGTGGATAGGTCAAAGTAAAACCAGGGGACCGCAAGCTAAGGTCAACTTGTGTACATTCGCCAGGGCTCCATTTGGGGTACCTATGTTCTACCCACCCATGATGTTCCTTTTGGCTTCCCAAGACAAGCCACCAAAGAGGGGCGCCTTTCAAGAAGACGCACGCTGCAACACGTGGGGGCCTCCTACGCACGTATGCCCAAATGAGTCACAATCAAAAACCGGAAGTGAAATGGTCTACCCGGAACCATGCTTCAAGAATTGAGAAGGCGGCTTTCCGCAGCTAATTTGTTGAGAGTTTCCCTCACCAACCTAACCATCTACCCGGGTTTTGATCTTGGCTCACATGTTGGGAGTCCTCTCAGAGTGAGGGATCAAATCCCTTTCCTGGGCGGCTGGTGGCAAAACTTGCTAGGGAATGCCGCCCGATTTGTATGCCCAAATGGCTGTGGCTCAAAAAACCGGTACCAAAATGGGTTGCCCTGGTAAGTGGACACATGGGCCAAAACCTGCGTAAACCCTCCTGTCTAATTTTGAGCCACATCCAAATGGCTTCAACTTTAGACATGGCTACATTGCGCGCCTGGTCCGAGGTGCTGCACTTCTCCTCCACCATGGCCAGGAACTCCTCCGCCAAATTGGATGTCTTGCTGGGGGAACCCCCTTACGACCCGGTCTCCGCTACAGTCGCGCGTCCTAAACATGCGTTTCCTCTGCAAGGGGTTCTCTCGTCTTTGGAAAAGCATCGCAACCCCCGGACATTTCAAGAATGTCTCTTTTTGAGGGTGCCCTTTTTGAGGCTGTTTGAAGGGAAACCAATGCGAAACAACCCATTTTGCGGGTTCCCCTATTTGGAGAAACCCATTTGCCTTGAAGTTGGTTTACTGAGCCAAATCGGGGAAGGAAAAAAGGTGAGCCACAAAAATGCACAAGCACATTCGCCCCCCCCTTCATTCAGGTCTGGAAACAAGAGTAACAAAAGCTAAACCGATTGGGACCAATCAAGCACCAGGAAAGCCAAAGGCAATCTGAACAACTTTCATTTGGTTAAGATCCCAGGAAAAAATATATGTCCAGTAGTGATCAATTCCTTTTAAAACCAACAAGGGAAAATCTATATTTAAAAAAAGAATGGAAGACAAGTGATCGCTTCGGAGTAACTCCCTGGACCCATCCCTTGGATCCGCTCCTGGGATGTGCCCATGGCCTTCTGGATGTTCTTGATCTCGAAGCCTCAGAAACCAAAAGGACGAAGCCAAAAAGCGGTTGGCATGGGCGAGCGACGCACTTTTTCAGGGTCACCCTCAGTTCACCCTCAAACAAGACACACCAGTCACAAAAGCGCCCACGGCGGTGCCTACACTTTCGGCCTCGGCTTGTGCCAATTCCTGGGGCTCGGCTTGGATGGTAGGGGCCTCCTTTTTTGGGTCTTGATCATTGAATTGTAAATGGGATCCGTTGAGGGACTCATACGTTGGGGGTTTATAGTGTTGGAGGACCCTGAAGGGGGTTGCAGTTTTAGAGGTCCTACTGTGGATGGACGAAATCCTGCACCACTTGGAAACCATGGGAACCCATTGCTTGTTGGTATTTGCAGGGAATCATCGTTCCAGGGTTTCTCAGGTGGTGCAGGATTTCGTCCATCCACAGTACCACAAAGATCCCCAACCCATTTCGCCCACTTACCAAAACCAGCTGATTCACCAGAAAATCCTCTTAATGGCATGAAAGTAAATTCGTTGGGGACCCTCGGGGGTGGATACCATTCAGGCCACCAACCGCCTTTGAGGTGGTTCCCCACTACAAGTCGCCAAATCAGCAGGCCTGAAAATTTCATAGCGCAACTGGCAAGTTTTGGCAAGGGTCCCTGGATTTCCCCGAATCAGATCAACTTGACTGGTGGTTTCCATTAAAACTGCCACTTGTGGAGGTCCAAACAAGGGAATTGAGGGACTCCTGTGTGGGGGGGAAGATTCAAAGACAAAAACATTTCGCCGCAAGCTGCTGGCTTCCATCATGCTCTGGCGTTTCTCCACCCGCTGCTGGCGCTTGCTCTCCACGCTCGCCTCCCCAGCCTCCGGATGTGGAGAAAGGGCATCGTCCCCCTCCAAACAAAATGATGATCTCCTGGATACATTGGCTTCGTGGTTTCCTTGGCTTCTTGGTGTAGGTCGCTCGGAGGTGCTCCCAACACCCGGTAGAGAATTGCCCCCAATAAACAAAGCGATTATCTATCACAGCCACGACCACCACCAACAACAAATGGATTCTGTCAAACGGCCCCAAAGCAGGTCACCGAACAAACTTTTTGATAGCCATTACAGAAAGGGGTGGTCCTTCTACCCTTGTGGAGAAGTAGCCCAAATGAACAAACCGATTGTCTATCCTCGTGGCTGGGTCATCTGGCTATGCATTAAAAAGAAGGGTAGCCCCAAAGTGGGTTGCCCTGGTCAATGGAAAACAAATGACTAAAAAACCTGCGGTCCATTTCCTGGTGGTTGATTTCATTGACCCATACTCATCTAAAGGCACCCGAGCAGTCCGTCCCGCCTTGATCTCCTCCTTCTTCCCGGCCATCAGCTCCTCGTAGGTGAGCTTCTCCTTGGCCATCTCTTCCTGGACGTCTGCTTCTGTGAAAAAAAAAAAAGAAAAAAAAAAAAAAAACGCTTCTGGCGTCCCCCTTTTCTCCAAAAAACAACCTGTATGGCTAACCAAGGTATTGAGCCACCCCTCAAAAACAACGAGGTTTTGCAGAACACAGCGTTAAAAACAACCGGGCTTGCCGATATCTATCCACGACACCCCCCCCCCCCGTCCGAAACACGTCTCTCTGTCTGCAGCTTTCCTGGAGCTTCTTAAGGTCCACCTTGAAGTCGTCCTTCATGCCCTCGAACATACCTTACGGCCGTAGGGGGACGACTTCTTGGGCCCCCAAGTTTCCTGGAAACGACATATGTCCAGTGGCGATAGTCCCTTTAAAACCAACAAGGGGAAAACAAAGAGGTTTCAGCCAACGGAAGTAGAGGCCGAAAACCCAAAAGCTCGAGCCCCTTGAGTTGGGTGCGTTCGACCGAAGAGTCGCGACATCTTGGGAATCACAATATGTGGACCGAAAAGGAGTGGTCACAAAAGATAACACGGACAAGATCGCACACCTTGAAAGGCTTTTGTCACTTGCCCCAATCCACGACTTGGACAAGCTTCCAAATCTCTGCGCTCAGAGCGGGGTATGTCATAGGTCTTCCCTTCTTGCTCCCAGCTTCCTTTCTCATCCCAATGGCATTCCCAGGGTTTGTCTTTGCTCTTGTTCAGAATCCGCTGACCTCTCATCCAGTTTCGACACAACGCATCATAATTCCAGGTCCAAATTCAGGACACGGCCAAGATGGCCTATGGGTTGCTCCTTAAACTTCCCTGCTGAGAAATGAATGGTGACTCTCCAAACCCATCCATAAAACATAAATCCATTTTAGGAATGTGTCTCTCTGTCAAATTCTCTCATTTCCTCACTTCTCTCAGACAGAGGCGGATATGGACCTCCATTCCCATCTTTTCCGCCAAAAGAGACCAAAGGGAGATGAGGCGGGAGGCATCTCTCTTCTTCTTCCTGCTGCCATCCCTTTATTTTGTTCAGCTCTTTATCTCCCCTCTCCCGGGTGCAGAAGAAGAGAGATAGATGATATTTGGGTCTTTGGCTTCCCTTTGCTTTTACTTCCTAGGTCCTCCAGTAGAAAGGGTAGAATAAGGGTACCATTTGTTTTCTGTCTATTTTAGTAGGAGAGCCCTCCCAGCCAAAACAGAAACGGAAAAAGAGCAAGCTGGGCGACCTAGCTTCGGCTTTCCCTGCAACAACCCCCCAAACAACCCCCCTAGGCTCTGGCCGGCCAGCTCGCCGCCGATGGGGGACTGCAGCAAGCTCTGGCCCTTCACAAAGTCCTCGGGGTCCTTGAAGAAGGCCTCAACTCAGTGACCCGGAGGGCCAGACGGAACCCAAAACCGCTTCAAGCCAAGAAGAGTCCACCAAAAAACAAAAACAAAAAAACGTCCCCGAACCACCCTAAGAAAAAAGGGGAACTTGAACAATGCGGACCTTTTCTTTCGCCCCGGGCGACAGCGCGCGGCGTTAAACCCCCGGCCTCCAGGCGCTCGTGGTCGCGGATGGACAGGGTGTTGTCCAGGCGCGCCGAACGCCTTCCAGCCGAGAGCCGGCTCGGCCGGACGGGTCGTGCCAAATATAGCCATGGTAAGTGGGTTAGAACCATGGTTACTATCCACTTCCTAAGTGCCCCTTTCAGTACTAATCAGCTTCCCTCGCAATTTGGGTGGCTTGGAGCCCGATGGTTTACGGGTGTTCCGCTGGTGGGAAACCACCAATTAGGGTGCAGCTGAACTAATGCACAACCAAAACCCATCGTACAGAAATAACAAGTGTGAGTGTTCGAACCTACTTCTGGCTGGAACTGTCCCCTACTAACCACGGACTTAAGGTTTTCCAGGGCGGTAGTCTCACACAAGGCTCCCCAATGATCATTATGCGAGGGACTTGAAGTGGACATGCTTCTTGGGGAATGGCAAAGATCGGTTAGCATCACCTCACGAATTCAGGGGGGTTGAATCCACCTGATGCCCCAAACCTCATTGGCCCTTGCCGACTCGCCCCTAGGGACTACAGAAGGAGCTAGCCGGAACGGAAGCCTGCACCAAATTTGGTTCCCCAAGTTGCTTCAAGCTGGTGATATATTTGTTTGATTTCCGACCGAAACGACCCCCGGTAACACGCATTTCCGACCGGGGGTGCGACCTGCTGACCGCGTCTTGCAGAGCAGCCGCCACATCCTGCCAATGATCAGGGGCCCAAGCCCGAAGATGGTGTTTTCTTATCCGAAGATTGATCAGTGTGCCGGTGACCTGTGGAAAACTGGTTCAGAAAATTTGGTTCGGAAACCATGGCTCCTGAAACTATGCTTCGGAGACTACCTTTGCTTCGGAAACTCTGGATTCAGAAGTTCAGCCGCCAGGCCCCCTCTCACTTGAAGCGCGCTTCCATGTTTGTTTGCACATCCTTGTCCTTTTACGATCTTCTACCTTTACATGGCGGCCGGTAGTTGCCCTTGCGGTCTAGCTGTAGTCATTCACACATCCGCAGGATCTAAGTAACGTCATCCACCTGCAGTCAATGACTTCGTCAATCAAGAAACCCTGCTAGAAAGCCAAAGGGCGGATCGTTGGTGCTTGCTGATGAACACTTCACATATCCAAAAAGCAAGAACGATGCGCGAACCAAGATTGACCGGCAAATGTCCCCAGCAAATCGTGGTCCAACACTCCCGTGTTCGTAAAAGGGTGAAGGACTGATTTCAATAACCCAGCATCATATTGCAAGTAGGGAACAAGGGACCCCCCAGGCACTTCCCCGCACATTTACCACGGTTTCATGTTTTCCTGTGGGCATGCCTGAGAAAAGAGACACCCCCTCAAATGCTCGATGTCCTTCCATCCAACCTTTAAAATGGTACCCTCCAAAGAAGGCACCCCTACTTAAGGGTGCAGGGTACTTGGCAAATGGGTACTAACCATGGTTGTAACCCACAAAAGCCATGGTGACAAGTCGCCTAAGTGGGTTGTAACCAAACATGTCTAACCACTTGCTAACCACTTACTTGACCTACAATGCCCCTTTAAGCACCTCTCAAATGCCCAGTGGCCATGGAGAAAAAAGGGCGCCCTTTTTGTTTGAGCTTAAAGGGGAACCCGTACCCGAAAAACAGGGGGAAAAAGGGCACCACTGGGCAACACAGACCTGAAAACGCCGCTCCATCCGTAGTTCGCCCGAGATGAACCGCTCCGGCGCCCGCCTTCAGGCGGTTTTCGGGCATCTGCAGCAGGGCGCTGCCCCCGCCGATGACGGTGGCGGCGGACTCCACCGCCTCTTTTCCCCGGACGCGAGTTTCCCCCGCTCAAGCGTCGCTGGAGGGCGGGGCAGTCCAAGAAAGCTGGCAGCGGGTTTGACAACCGCAGGAAATAACAATAGGAACCCCCCCAACAACTCACTCCCTGAGTAGACAAGAAAAGTCCAAACTGTTTGTGTTTGCAACTAAAGTGGTCTTCCCGAAAAGTGTTTTTTAAGTCCATGAACTCAGGGAGTGAGGAGGGCGCACTAGTTATGATGAAAGTTCGGAATTTTAAATTATCGCAAGTGGAATGACCAAATCACCGTGCTCCTGCAAATGGCTTGTCACCCTGGAACCCACCTGAGAAATGGTCCCTTTAAAGCGGAAGCCTTCCAGGATCCCGAAACCGTCATTATGTTCCTTGCCACTTGACGGGTTTAGTAAAGGGGTTTGTTGAGCGGAAACGCCATGGGGCCATTTGACAGCTCCGGATGGGGAAGAAGAGGATCTGCGTCATCAACCCACGGAACCCGCGAAGCGGATCCACCAGGTCCCCGCGTGGCTTCCGGGGAGTCATGGGGGCGCGAGTGGAGGGCATCCGGATCCACTTTGGAAGGGGCGAATCCCAAGGTAGGTCTGCCTGCGACATCCAAAGTCGAACAACCAGCAACCAGCACCTGGCACAACTGAAACAACTCTCCCCCTACCTGTGCTCTACTTTTGGGCCGAAATTCCCCGAAGGTATCGCAGGGAAGCGGCCCTGAAACTTCTCAAAATCATGCACCACCGTTTAGCGTCTCATACTTAGCAAGTCTTATGTAAGATTGGGGTCAAAAATTCCCGGTCCCAGCCCTATCCCGGCTCTTGGAAAGGTTACGCCTCCTCTGTCAGTGAAGGGATCCCTCCCTCTGTTAGGGAAGATCCAAAGTATCTCTCAGCTAGGCCACCCTTGGTTCGAAGGATGGGCAAAAGCACTGCCTGAGAAGGTCAGGTGACAATCGCGCCCGGATGAGCTGTACCTGTGTCGCTTCCTTGTTTCACTTTAGCCTGTAAGATCTAAAACGCCAACTCGACCCCAGCGTGATCTTGAGAGAACCGCCCGACCGACCCGCCTCGATGTCCTTGTACAGGGACTTCTCATCCGTGTTGTACTTCTCGACCTGAAACGCTCGCTCATGGGAAGCCCTAGACGCCAAAACTCGGAGCCTTTTGGTGATCCAGTCTGCCATGGTCGCTGGGGAAAAGGAACCCCCAAAACGAGAGCATTCACATACATAACAAATAAGTCCACAAAATCCAAGAAACATTTCAGTGGAGTCTGAGTCTTTAGACCCCACTGGATTTCCGATGTCCCCTTCAAAAGTTACAATTTTCTGGTGGTGTCCATTGAACCGATCGCCACGTTTGGCGGATCCGCAAAGGGAATGGCTCGGACAGGCCGCGCCTGGTTGCCGTGGAGCACCCGCGCCTGGTCCAGTGTGGCCGTGGCCTCCTTCACCTGGTGACCGCGTGTGGTTGCTTGAAAAGGACGGAAGCGATGGGAATAAAACAAAAAAGCTTGCCCGTGTTGAGAACGAGACAAAAACAAACCAGCAAGCAAGCAAACAACAAACAAACAAGCATGAACAAAGAGAGAGAGAGAGAGAGAGAGAGAGAGAGAGAGAGAGAGAGAGAGAGAGAGAGAGAGAGCGACACGTGCGTACACACACACACACATGTTCAGCTATGAACTCTGGTTAAAGCACCGATTGTGAAACATGGGTATGTTGAAACCTCCTGCCGGACGTACTTTGGCAATAGGTGTTCTTGGACAAGGGTGTGGCAAAGTGTGTTTCGCCGTGGGGTCAACATTATATTCCGCTCGGGGATGGTTCAGGGGAAACATAGCTCTACGTTGCCTTCTCTAGCATCACCTCTTGGGCATGCTTAAAGGGGCAGGGAACGAAGGAAGTGGAAAGTAAGCCTGGCTATAACCCACTGAACGGAGACTTATCACCATTGGCTTTTGTGGCTAACCACTAACCACTTCCCTGACGTAGACTGCCTCGATCGCCCCCCTGCCCCTTGAAGTGGGTGGCCTCCTTGGCCAATGTCGCCATCTGCGTGGCGAGGCTCCTCAGACGGCAAGGCCATGGCTGGCTGGCGCGATAGGGAACGACCCTTCCGGGGGAATGAACTGAACTGGTTTTGGGGAGTCCCTTGAAGGAAACCAATAGGGGACGGCTTTTATTGGGGTCATTCCCTCATTCCTGCGCAGAACCAGCAAGATGGTTGGTTGCCCCAGTTGCCGTAGGTGGCATCCTTCCTTGTGGCTTTGGAGGAATCAAGGTGAGCAGCTCCTTGAGCGCCCAAACCCCACTGACGTCGGGTCACGATGATGGCGAAGGTTTAGTAAAACCACCCACCAAAATGGCCAATGGTGGCTTTGGCGCTCACTTGGGGGTTTGTGGCATAACTCTCACAGCAAAGAGCCATCTTTCAGATCTATCTGTCTAGAGCATGGGCATTGTGGGAAAATCATCGTCAAGCAGCTGAAGGTCTTCAGAAACTTAACCAACTTAATGTGACAGCAAAGCTTTGCAAGTGGCTCACAGAAAGTGGCCTTCCATAAAACCTCATCTGGGGCAACTCAGTGCCCAAGTAAAAAAAACCTTCATGGCCTCGAGCTTGTTTCCAACCCAGAAAATCGGCGAGATCGAGAATCTAGAAGAAAGAGTTTGCGACGTCGAATTGTTTATGGCGAATGGCTGCGTATGGTCGCGCTTGATTGGCTTTGCTTGGTTTCCCCCACCACCACCACCACCACCACCACCACCACCACCACCACCAAACCCCCCATGCCCCATGCCTCACTCCCCACGTCTCACTTTCAGGCCGATTCGGCGTGGGGATTCCACTTCCACACTCGTGGGGATTCCACTCCACGCGTCGCGCGCCGAGGGGCTCCGCGGAGGCGTTGAGCTCCTCCACGAGGCTCGCCAGCTCCGTGGCCTTGGCGGCGCCGCCGGACAGCTCCGAGGCCTTGCCCTGCTGGTTCTCCTGACGGACGTCCCGGCTCTCGGAGTGAGGCGCCCCGAAGCCCCGAAGCCCGGCTTCCCTCCAATTGCTGGGGATCACTGGGGACCGGAACCGAAAGGGTGAGGATTGAAATCGGGGAATTACACACACCCCTGGTTCTCCAGCGGCTCCCCTTTTCAGCTCATCTCCCCGGAAGACTTCTCACACGGGTCCCGCAAAAACCCGCAACCCGCCTTGCACCAGCACTTGAGATCGTCATACATGTCCTCGTCGGCCTTCTGCTCCTTCTCCAAGGTGTCCTGCATGTCCTGCAGATCTATCTGGGGAATGCTGGAACTCGGCCATGTTTCCTTCACCCATTGAACTCGCTTTTCTTGTTTGAATCGCTGAGCCTCAGGCAAGGACAAAAGCCGGCCAACAACGACAGTTGGGCTCCATTCCCGCGACCTCCCGTGGCTCGATTACGTATCAGTGTACATTCCTGCATGCCTTGGTTAAACCTCCTCCTCAGACTGGCGGATGGTCGGTCTGAGCTTGCCCCCGAAGACTCTCCCAAGCAACTATTCATGACCAGACTGCGACGGGACGGACTTGATTCATGGGCCACCCAAACTGAAAGACTCCAGACAGTGCACCCTTCCCTTTGCAACCCAACAGCGCCGCAAGTGTCACCGGCCATGGGAAGCAAGGGCCTTCTTTCCCCCAAAAAAACACAAGAAACAGGTGTCCTTTTAGGGGACATAGAAGGCCCTGGCAGATGATTAAAAGGCAACCAGGTGAACCAGGAATCGCCATCTATGTTTCTACTAAAACAGCCAAAAAGGACACCTATGCCCACCCGCTGCAGGCCCGTCCTTCAACATCTTTACCACTTTGGTCACCGGGCGCTCTTCCACCAAGGTTCGCGCCAGCGCCAGCGGCAGCACTAGGAGCGCCCTCATCGCCTACATGGGCTTTGGGCCAAGGGAAAACGAGGGCCACATTTCTTGGTGGCTGTTGACCCCCCTGCAAAAAGTTTAACTGTTTGGGGGTTTAGTGGAAAAGCACTTGATGATCCAACCCAATAGCAGTCAAGATTTGACCCAGAACGTGCCAGAACATGGGCCCCGCATCACCAGCCCAGCCGCCTTTGACGCCATGATCTACAGTAAAGCGGATCAGCGAGGTCCCTCCAAAGGGAGTTCCCTCTGCTGGAGCCCAGGATTTGCGGAAAGACCCGGTCAAGTCGACTCCAAACTAAGAGGAGCGCTTGCTTCTCACTCACAGACTAGCTGGCACTTGAGTTCGCAATCCGCGAGTCAGCGGTTCCTGGACCGACCTCTGCGATAAAATCATAGTGTGAATCTGTTTCATATTTCGTCTACCCAGAAAAAAGATATGGGGTTAATGGGGAAACCCCCAAAGAGGGTGTTGTCCTTTTGGTTTCCCTTTAGAACCAGCCCAAAAACGGGCACCAGCATCGGAAGCGCCACGGCCAACAGAACATTTCTGCGAGTCTGGCGAAGATGTCCCCGTCCTCGACCCTTTGGGTCGCGGCGTTTTCGCGGCCTCCCCCCAAGACAGCGAACCGGAGAGGGAAAGCTAGCTGGGAAATTTTGAGGGTGGGGCCGTATGATCCTTAGTTAAACGAGCCACAGGCACTAGCTCGTGGCAAACTGCACCCATCATTCATGCTTAAACCAGTGATGCTCTCGTATCCGCGGCCTGTACCCCTAAACCAACCTTTCGCCCCACCCTAGCTTCGAGGCTGACATAGGCTCATGCCTGAGGTGAGATTTCGGTTGCAGTTGCAACACCCAGGGGCACAGCTCACGCGCCGCCCGCGCCACGTAGGAAAAGCGACCGTTGGCGTGGAAGCCGCGAGCCGCAGGCTCTGCAAACGTCACGCGCCAGCCTTGGCCCTCGCTTTGGCTCTGGCTTGTTGGATCTGCATCCTGGCCTCAGCTCTGAAGGTCGACGAGGCTTCCATGCTCTGAAGGTTCAGGAACCCCCAGCAATGGAGAGAAATGATTCCAGTCGCTCCGATCTGCCCCTGCCAACCTCCTTGCCTTTGCCAGGGGCCCATGGGCACCAATTTGTTCCTGTCAAGCGGATGATTGAACTGGGCCGATCTTAAGGCAGTCAAAGTAGTCATCTGAATTTATGCTTTTGGTGAAGGTGTTGCGCTAAAAGTACTTCCCGCGTGAATAAATGCTGAAATTGTGCCATCTACCTTCACCCGACAAGGCGGTGGTGCTGAAAAACCGAAGGGGTTTTTGAGGCATACTAGTGGGATAACCTCAATTCGCCCGCCAAGAAGCTAACTGCTTCTGGCAAAGCTCAGATTGGGGACACCCCCAATGCTCTTTTGATGAACGTGGAACCTAAACACCGCCCCATGAAATGGAATCTGGACTTGGGTACCAATGGTAACACAAAGCAAGGCCAATTGGCTGGGGCCCAAAAATGGAACCCTCGCAAGTGGTAACATGGACTAAAACCTGCGGTCTTTTGGTGGTTTACAGTAATTCGGACCAATACCCAAATGAAAGACACTGCCCAAGCCCCCCCCCCCCAATCCCTCTCCAAGCGAGCTGCATAGATCCGCATGGCCGTGCGTATACGCCGCCATCGCTGCTGCACGACCCGCCTCACCTGGCCACCCCAAGACCCCCTTTTAGAGGGGCGATCTAGGGCAAAATGGCAAACTCCTGCAAGGAAACAGGCTCAACCCCCAGATCAGAGTATGTTGGGGCAAACCCGCGGTCCAATGCCAAAATTCCACAAGGGCCCGTTGTATCTGACCGCCACGCACTTCAAATTACACCAGCTTTCAGGGTCGCGCTCGAAGAGGTAGGTTAGGAAACCCCATCAAGGTCGCTTCAAGCCTGAGCCAAAAAACAGGGCTCCCTGTATTTCCCCTGAAAACAACACCCCTACCAAAGGAAACACACCTGACGCGGGCCCAAAAGGTGATGTGGCATCTTCGGAACGGGCAAAAGTGGGAAAATCTCACAAACCCCCGGAAATAAAAAATGAAGGAAGAAAAAAACGGAGAAACAAAAAAAAGTTCCCCCCACGAGCCAACGTGGCCGCGTTGCCTCGTGCGCGGCTAGGTCCGCCATCTCGCAGCCTACGACGTCCTGCATGGCGGCCTCGGACGCCGGAGGCAAACGACACGTAGCTGAGGGCCGGGGAGGCTCTTCCCGGGCCGGGCGGGAGCCGTCTTGGTTCCTCGTTTTTTTTGGGTTTTTTTTTTGGTGTGTGTGTGTGTGTGTGCGTGTGTGCGTGTGTGCGTGTGTGCGTGTGTGCGTGTGTGCGTGTGTGCGTGTGTGCGTGTGTGCGTGCGTGTGCGTGTGTGCGTGCGCGTGTGCGCGTGCGCGTGTGCGTGTGCGCGTGTGCGCGTGTGCGCGTGTGCGCGTGTGCGCGTGTGCGCGTGTGCGAGCGTGTGCGCGTGTGCGCGTGTGCGCGTGTGTGTGCGTGTGTGTGTGCGTGTGTGTGTGTGCGTGTGTGCGTGTGTGCGTGTGTGCGTGTGTGCGTGTGTGCGTGTGGCGTGTGTGGGCGTGTGTGCGTGTGGGCGTGTGGTGGCGTGTGGGCGTGTGGGCGTGTGTGCGTGTGTGCGTGTGGGCGTGTGTGCGTGTGTGGCGTGTGTGCGTGTGGTGCGTGTGTGCGTGTGTGCGTGTACAGGTGTGTGCGTGTGTGCGTGTGTGCGTGTGTGGTGGCAGAGAAGGCAGGGGCGCGAGGTTGGCCAGAAACAGAGGTCAGGCCACAGGCGCAGGGCTACAGGTGAAGGCAGGTACAAGTAGGTGGCAGGTACAGAAAGGCAGGTGAAGTGTGTGTATGGGTAGGTACAAGTAGGTGAAGGCAGGTGCTGCAGAAGGCATACATACATATACGCTATAAGTATAAGTATACATACATATACATAAGTATACATACATACATGTCATTATGCGATTACAGGCGTCACAGGTGAAGGAAAGGCCAGGCTGCAGGTGAAGGCAGGAAGGCAGGTGTTTGTGGAAGGCAGGTATGCAGGGGCCAGGGTGGTGGGTGCTGCAGGTGCTGCAGGGAAGGCAGGTGGAAGGCAGGTGGGTTACAGGTGCAGAGTGCCAGTGTGGCACACAGGAGAAGGAAGTGGTTGGCAGGTTATCATAGGTTAACAAGACACGTCACGAGGTCACAGGCTGTCAGAGGCCACACAGGGGTCACAGGCGCCATAAGTAGGAAAGCAGGCCACAGGGTCACAGGCCATTGCAGCAGGCTGGTCACAGGTTATCATAGGCATTGCAGGCCGTCACAGGTCAAGAAAGCACACAGGCTAACAAGGGTGTCATGCAGGCAGAAAGGCCAGGCCGGCAGGTGGGAAGGCAGGTGGGGGGGGTGCTGCAGGTGCTGCAGCAAAAGGTGGTGGGGTGCGTGTGGGTGCGTAAAAGCGAAGGCAGGTATAAGGTGGTGAAGCAGGCAGGAAAGGCAGGCAGGTAAGGCAGGCAGGCAGGGGTGGTTGCAGTGGAAGTGGAAGAAGGCAGGTATGGCTTACAGGCGTCATTCACAGGTGCTGCCCTCCTCAGGCTGTCTGGCAGGGCGCTGGCTCCCATATGAACACATCACAGAGTGCACATATACACAGAAAAGGCTATAGGAAGGTAGGTAAGGCCAGTAGGCGTCAGAAGCACAGAAAGGGCCAGAGGCCATTCACAGCAGGTCAAGTAGGAGCACATGCAGGTCATTGTGTGATGGACTGCTACACACCCAAGCCAAAAAACCCAGGGTACACATAAGAGTCAAGATATGGGTTGGTCTCAAATGACACACATAATAATATATGTCATTATATACACAGTATACACAGAGTACACAGGAGGTACACAAGGCAACAAGGCACAGGTACACATGAGGCACAGATACACAGAAAAGGCTATAGGACACAGAAGGTTACAGGGCACAGCAGGAAGGCCACAGGCGCTGGCGCAGGAGGCTGCAGGCCAGCAGGTTGGCTGCAGGCCATAGGCACAGGAAGGCCATAGGAAGGCCATAGGCAAAGAAAGGCTATAGGGCACAGAGAAGGACATAGGCACAGCAGGTCGCCACAGGCGCCAGAAAGGCGAACCGGGGGCTGTACCGGTCCTTGCGTGGGACGTAAGGCGGCCAGAAAGGCAGGGGAGGCAGGGAAGGTGCAGGTGGTTGTTTTGTCCAGGTAAGGCAGGTATGTAGAAGTGTGGGTATATGGTGGTGCTGCAGGTAAGGCAGGTGCTAAGCAGGTATGCAGGAAGGTAGGTAGGCAGGTGCTGCAGGTAGTAAAGGTAGAAACAAGAAAGGCAGTGGTATGCTGGTGGTGCTGCAATATCTCCCATGGAGGCCAGAGAAGGCCATGGTAAGGCTTATTCTCCATTAGTAGGCTATCATTCACAGGCATTGGTTCTCACAGTAGGATACACAGAGCACACAGGAGGCACAGATACAGATATCATATACACAGAAAGGCCATGAAGGCCACAGGCTAACAGAGAAGGCCAGGCACATAAAAATGTCTCATTATAGGAGGCTATAGAAGCGTTAGGTACATATATAACACATATACAATATATGTCATAGATACATTATATACAATATATACACAGAAATAATATAATAATATTATATATATATTATATAACTATTATATAATAAATATATGTCATTACAGAGTACACATATACAGATGCCAGAAGGCCAGTGAGTACACAGTAGGCACAGAGTACACACAGAAAGGC